TAGGGTGCGTGCGCTTGCTAGACAGACAGAGAGAGACAGAGAGACAGAAAGCGAGAAATCACCCCCCAGGGGGGATGGCCACGCCACAATCCCTTCTCCTCCATTTTCCTCTCAGGGTCTTGGGCATGCACCCACATGCGCCCGGCGTAATTTTAAGCCACCGGGTCCGGGACTCAAACCACGGTCAACTACATGGGAGTCCAGCAACATAGCCATTACGCTAACTACTGGTCCCCTTTCTCTTTTCTTTTAGGTTTATTTATCTATGTCATGAGAGAGAGAGACAGAGAAAGGCAAAAATAAAAAGGGGGGGGGCAAACCTTCACAACAGGTGGTTTTTCTGCAATGCTCCTTCAAGCCTTTCCCGGCCAGTCAGAATCACTGGCACATACAGGGATGCCCAACATGGACCAGTCAACCTGGGAACCTAATCCTGATCTTCCATATGGTTTCTGCATTGCAAAGCATGGTCTTACCACTGCACCACTGTGGTTAGGCCAGTATGAAATCTTTCTGGCCTTGTGTAATTTGAGGTTACATTTATTTTGGAGTGCTTCTTTTTAAAAACATTCATCTTGGGACCAGCAGTTGGAGTAATGGCTATGTCATTGGATGCCCATGTAGTCAACCATGGTTTGAATCCCGGACCTGGTAGCTTAAACTCATGCCGGGCAAATGTGCTTGTGTGCCCAAGATCCTGAGAGAGAATGGAAGAGAAGGGATTGTGGTGTGGTCATCCCCCCTGGGGGGTGATTTCTCACTTTCTGTCTATCTCTGTCTTTCTGGCAAGTGCATGTGCCCTATAGCAAAAGCCTTTCCAAAACAAACAAACAAACAACGAAAAACAAACAAAGAAAAAAATCATCTTTTGGACTGGCTGATGGACTAGTAATTAGGGGAGTCAGATCCCACATGGACAACTTTGTGGATCAGATTCCAGTCCTAGGGACTTGGAAAACATGCTAGGTGCATATGCAATTCCAACAGGGTGGAGAAATGGAGGAGAAGGGGGTGCAACATGACCATTTCAGTTTTGAGGGGATGTATTTTCTCCCTCTCTTTCTCTCTCTGAGTCTCTGTCTCTTCCTGGCAAGTAAATGCACTCTCTGTCAAAATTTTAAAATAGTAATAATAAAATAATTCTCTCTTTTTGCTATTTTCTGAATAGTCTCATTAACATATAGTTTTTAAAATTGTACCTTAGGAGTGGAGGTGCATTTATTTCTTAATGTCAGCAAGATGCCTGATGCTACCTTTACATACCAACTAGCAACACAGCTCAGAGGATTCTCTCTCTCTCTCTCTCTCTCTCTCTGTGTGTGTGTGTGTGTGTGTGTGTGTGTGTGTGGCGGTGTGACTAAGTGAAAGAGAGAAAGAGAGGGAGAGAAAAGATGACTGGTGTAACTTTTTGACAAATGCCAGAAGTCTATAATTTTAGTCAAGAACTCCTGAGAACAGGCTGAAGCATTTCTTCTCAATCACATCAAAATAATTTTTTAGCAGTCTTAGAAATAGTCTAAGGATATGCACAGCCATGGGCACCATCAGAGTGAGCTGATCTTCATATCCTGGAAATCACAGACAATCGTCTTGGTCAGGAGCTCAAATACTAAGCTCTAACAGCAGGAGGAAGAAAACATGAGGTATGCTTTGATCCTGCTGACAAAATAAGGTATTCATACAAGATGCTACTGTCAAAATAGTTTACTTCACAGCAGAAAGGGATTCTTTGAAGAAATACGCTCAAAGCGAAGCATGTACTTACTTTATTTGCAAACAAAAATAAATCTTTTTATACTCACAGGTGGAAAATCGAACTCTGGAAGCTCCTCCTGAAGGAACAGTAAACGTGTTTGTCAAAACAGAGGGATCTCGGGAAGCCCGCGTGAGGTGGGAAGCACCTTTTCACCCAAATGGACACTTAACATACACGGTCCTTTTTACTGGGATTTTCTATGTAGATCAAG